CAATCCCTAACATTCTGTGATTCTGTGGTTTAATAGAGAAAGGAAGAGCTGCATGAACAAGCAAGGCAAAACCAAGACTTCATTCGCTGTTTCCCACTGTCAGGCAAATGTCCAGTTACTTCCTGCTGGCCATGCAGTGGTTGCTTGGGAGGACAAATGCCATAAGCACTAATGTCTCACCCTCTTCCTTTCCCTAAGCTTTTATTACTGTGCATGGCATCTCATGATATTGAGTTTCCATTTGGTCAGTTTAGGCCTGCTGTCCCATCTACATCTGTTCCCGATTTATTGCCTGCCCTCAGTATACTCGTCACAGGGAGAAAGCCTTAATACTGTGCAAGCTTTGTTCAGCAATAGCAAAGTGTTATCAACACTGTTTTAGCCACCAATGCAAAGCACAACACCATACAGACTCCTATAAAGAAACTTATCTCTATCCCAGCCAGACCTAGTACATATTTCAAAAAAAGGTTTAGCATGAATGAGAATCAAGTCCAGGTGATCTCGTGAAAATTAACAAAAAAAAAACCAACCAAAAACTATTCAAAAATACACATCACTGCATTCACAGAAAAATGCATGATTCACTGGCTCATTCACAATCTGGTGGTATTTTCATTATCTACATTTACATTTTAGCTAGGTATTAAACAGATGACTCAATTAGAAGTGATCCAAAGGTTTAAAACATGAAATAAAAGAGTTATGAGGGTTAACAAATAACCTACAGGAAGAAAACATACAGTTAAAGCTTCTTTTACCTGGCACAGATACACCATACACATTTGCTTCTTGTATGAACTCCAACATTAGAATGACATCAGAAACTTCTGTAGTTGCAACATTCTCCCCTTTCCATCTAAAACATGTGAAAAAATACCTTAATCCCATTAAAAAAATATAGGAACACTTCCAATATATGGGCACCATTACATTTAGTAGTAACTCCATTCATTTCAGACTAACAACACCTCAAATTTGTTCCCACTTGTCACATTGGTGTATTGATCTGATCACCAGAAAGCAACACTTGCAGTTCAAATGGTACAGGATATTAGCCATCACTATAAAGCACAATGAAAGCTTATCATAATCTGATAAGATAGGTTTCAAAATTTTGACACATACCTAAACATTTAAAATGTTACTAGTCTTTACTATTTAATACATTTTTCTCCACTTCAGTACCCAACATCCTTGCCACTGTCAAAACCATCACTAGTTACTATGCTTATTTATTTCAAAAAGCTGAAATTCCTACAAAACATTCTGGAAATGAGCTATTCAGCTCCATGGGAACACATTTTACAAAATTAAGCCCCTGTCATCCATTTCAAGATCATTATAAACATCATCACTATACTAATAAAATGAACACTTCTGATTGAAAACAAATAGAACAGTATTATTTTATTCTGCTTATCTGTGCTTTTTAATGAAGAAATGTAGAAAGAAACAAAGGTAATACCTGAAGGTATCTCCAATCCTGTCCCAAAAATAAAGAAAATTCTCACAGTCTTGAACCATTAGATCTCCAGTATTAAAATAAAGATCTCCGTTCTTAAATACCTCACAGAGTAATTTCTTTTCTGTATGTCTCTTATTGCCAGCATAACCAAAGAAGGGGTTCTTTGCATTGACTTTGGAAATGAGAAGACCGGGCTCACCTATAGAGAGAAGTTGAAAGAATGTAAACCTAAGGTATCATTGCACATTTCCTGTACTTTACATTAATATTAATTTTGTACATATGATTTTATAAGACCAGGAACCAAATATGGCAGGATGCAGTGCCTAAGACCCAATAATAAGAAATTACCTGTTTCTGTTGCTTTACTGCTGTGGTCATCTCTACATGCAAAGTAGCCATAAGGACACAATACAATACCGTCCACTCGAATTCCCAGTCTTTTGTATTTCGTCCAGATGACTCATCAAACAGTCTTTTCCCTTCTCTATCATGAGCTCACTAGTAGGTTTACTATCTTCTCAAAGTGCACACTTCAAGTGCATATTATGCCCCACTCCCCACACCTTACTGAATTTGCAGTAAAGAGTCTCAGCTTCATCAGCTTCCCTCTGAAAAACTAGTGGTAATAAAAAGGAGTTCAAGTGTTCAATCCAGGCATTATATCCTTATTTAGTCTTCTTTCAGAATTTCTGAGAACACTTCTGAAGAATTTAATTAATGTGATACAGCCTCATTGCTTTCTTTTTTGAGTAAAATACTGAAAAAACTGAAGTTTTTTGTTTTTTTTTTCTCAAAAAGTACAGAGAGATGGGGATAGGATTATGCTGTTATGCATACAGAGTATCAGGGTGTTAGTTTTCTGTAAGTGAAATAGTTGTATGAACTCCTATCCTTTTTGGATGCACATTCTAAAGTCTTATGTTACTTTGTATCTGAAACAAGAATTATAAATATGAAAATATATATAAAGATCTGCCTAAAGTGATGCATATTTTTTTAATTTAAGACTGCCTTCTCATAAAAAAGCTGTGCCTTTTTTCCAGAAATTGTTAGTGTTTAAGCTGAAAGCATTTATTTCACTGGTACTGCCACTGCAACTGTGATGGTATTGGGCATGAGTAACACATAGTCTATTATACTTCTTATTAGACTGACTGATGAAACTGGAAAAAAATTAGACTAGTTGTCTAATTAAAGCATGTGTTCCCTGCACAGGTCAGTCTGACATCCTTACAGATAATTTCCTGTAAAGTTTCACATTTTAGGGACTGTATTTTCCTGAAAGTGCTCATCTTTGGTTAAGACCAAATTCTGTTAGAGAGACTCTTAAATGCTTTAAAAAATCTGCTCCAGCTTCCTGTTAAAGTTGTCTACTTGACCTTTAATATGAGTTTTTCTCACTTTGGCTTCCACATATTACAGCTGTTATCTTCCTACAGTACAACTGAGATGCTTCAGTATCTGACAAACACTTTGAAAACTGGTATAATCAAGAGATACTAGACACTTGATAAGTATCTTGAAGACAGCTATAATTATGCAGCCTCTTCTTTTAAGAAAAAAATAATTGATAAGTTTAATCAGCTCACCTAGTCAGGAATACTTAATCTCTCACCAAAAAGCATTTGCTCTAATCCACCAGTCTTTCTTATAGATCTCTTAGGCAGACAGCTCATTTTGTTAATCTTCTTTAAAAAACACAGATGTCATTATCTACATAGAGATAATATCACACCATGACTTTTTAAACACTGCTCTGCTGTGTATATATATCCAAGGATCTCCTAAGTTCTTCTGGTTTCAGCACTAGTATGTTTAATAATGTTCTGTCTTAGATCAAAAATCATATTGCTTTTGTCAGAGTAAGCAGTAATAATTGATGTTGGCATAGTACAGTAACACAATAGCAAGGCTACTTAAAAACATTCTCTTGAGTATTTGTTTTACAGTCAAAAGGCTGTTATATTCCATTAAAACATACTTACCTTTCTTAACTTTTTCACACCAACCATGGCTGTTTCTAACTGGTTCATCTTTTTGGAAATCATACTTGATTAAATCAAACGGGAAAAAAAGCTAAAAAAGGGGAAAAGGGTCGCCAGTTACTCATCTACACAGTGACATCTGGTGGCAGCAAATGTAAGCAAGGAAACCTTAACTCCAATCTTGCTCATCTAAAAGTAGAATGTAGTTTCATTTAAAACCGAAAATACCCTGTATGGAAACTTAAACCATTTAATGGAGGTAAGCAACCTCAAAACATTTTTATAATCCTCTAACTGTCAAGGACTTATAACTTTCAAGACACAGATCTGTAATTTTTTAAATTTATTACAAATAAGTTATGAGATCCACAACTCAGTGGAAAAGTACATAAATCAGGGTAACAGAAGCACATTTGGAATGTAACTAATATTTAATGGTGGTGGCTGACATGAAAAGTGTTCTTGGGGTCTTCTGGCACCTATAATCAGCAAAGCAAAGGCCTAAATCTCCTTACAAAGGGAAACCTGCTTCCGATTGGGCTTTACTCATGCTTTACTAGCCGCAGTTCTGCCCTCAAGCTTTCTCAGGCTGGTGTATGGTAAAAAGCCTTATCACAAACCCTAGCAGAAGGATATGCACTCCTGTATCATTTGACATGGTTATGTAGCTGTGCATGTTCCACAGTTATGTCAAGGTTAGTTCTGTGTTCTTCTGGAATACTGTGAAGCCTTCAGTCCTGACACTGCTGACCTAATGGACTTCGTAGTTATGTGTTACAACCAACCTTCCTCTTGCATAAGGATCACAGAGAATTTGGCTCTAAGTAAGCTGAAGGAGAGGGATAGTGATAATCCCATCAACCCTAGAAACTGCAATACTTTTTTTCCTCCAATATAAAAGGTTTGACTCTTACTTTGCTTCATTTTCTACCATGATATAAATCCAAATTAGGTCTTTGAGACATTGACAGATATGATACGCCTGGTACTATATGGACCACTGTGTGTCCTCTTACTATCCTAGAACTTCAGTTCGCCCAGCTTGGGATACTGACTTCTCTTCTTATAAAGTATATCAGCAATCCATTTAACAACTAGTCAGACAAAGGATATACTATTATCTTCTCCTGGAGAAATCTTTACAAGCCAAGAAAACAATTTTTAAAACATAGGAATATACACCTGCACCCTTCACAACAAAGAAATGCAATATAATTTAAGGATGGTGTTATGAAAGTGACTGGAGTAAAGTGTAGGTTGCTAAAACATAAACCCAATTCCTTCTCTGCAACTAGTATGGATGAAGAATTGCATTTTATCCTAATTTGAAATACTGCTGTAGCTATATAGTGTCATTTTGTTTTCAAGGAAGTCTGAATAAATGGCAACTTGAATCAAACATAAAACACACAATTTCAGCCTAATATGGACAAATATTTCACTGAGTCTTTTCGATGTTCACCACTATGTTTTCCTTCTACCCTGAGACTGAAACAAAAAGATCTTTTTAACAGTTGATGAAAGGAGCAAGGTCATAGTGTACAAAATGAAGTAATGAGCCAAGAATTTGACACTTTTTGAATAAAGTGGAGGATTGTTTTTTTTCAATAACTACAGACTATAGCATTTACCAAAGTCAAGAATTTCAGAGATAAAAAAGTTCATCTCAATTAGAAAATAACTGTATTATTCTTGATGAACAGAATGGGAGGCATTCATAATAAACACGCATAATTTTTTCTTACAGTTTTTTCTTTGGGCTGTCTATTATTAGTTGCTGTTCTTTTTCACTTTTTTTTTGCATCAATATTTCTTACTTTAATTGGTCTCATATGACAGACCAAAGGCAATAAATAGTACAAATGATAAGAAAAAAATGGCATAAAATGAAATGTTATTCTTATATTTTTGTGTTTGATTAGAACAGCAGCATGCCCTGTTCAGTTCCATTTTTATCAGTTCATTCCCTCAGAGCCCAGCAGCTGTATCTTGCCAATATGTCAGTCTGCATGATGCTTTAAGCTGTTATATTCAGAAACTAATTTAGCATCTGAGATAATCTAAAAACTGTCAACTTTTACTGTTTATGTTGCTACACACATCTTTTAGTGCTTGCAACTTTACAGTATCAACTATATATATTCTAGTTAGCTTTTTGAAATAATAGTAATGCAAATACATAATTAAAAACCCACATATTGCATTAGACATGTATAATGAAACTATGCCAATAAACATTCCTTGCAAACAGCTTTCTCTGTGCAAACAGCTTTCTTTTTATATTAAATACTAGAAAATGAAAGCTCCAGAGCAAAGCATTAGTCTGAATACAGGCCTACATTTATTGTATCTCATTATTTAAAATTTATTTTAAGAGAGGGCCTGAGCCATTGAAGCATTACAATTCTGGCAGGAGGGCTGGACTAGATGGTCTTTCGAGGTCCCTTCCAACTTCTGCTATTCTGTGATTACCATATTATTTTCACCGAGTACTGCATGCAGCATTCATAATTTTAATCTACATTTTACTCCCTAAAGCACCACATAAATGTACCAAATAAAAAGCATAATTTTTCTAGCCAAAACTTAAAATGAATTAATTAATGAATGAATTAATCTGCAACAGTACTGTCTGTTACTATGCTGCCTGGATGTTACCTAATAACAGCATTCCAACCCCCAACCACCTTTTTTTTAATTTACAGGAAATATGCGAGTTTAAATATTGTTTTGAAGATAGTTTTGAAATTTTTTAAATTCCTAAAGTTTCAACTTATAGTGAATGCTCACAGAACCTTCATGAGAGAACAAAGATCATAAGTTATTGCTTTTTATTTAGTTATGTTTTTTAGAGATGAGATATCGTTCAGTTCGCTGTGAGAATATCTGTTTATAAAACAAAGCATTACATTTAGTAGATTTAGTTCTAAGCATTTTTAAAAAGTGAAAAGTAAGAAAAAATAAATTTTGGTGCATAGTATCATCATATCTCATAAGTTATTTAAATATATACTTGTAATGCCTTATTTGTGCTGTAAAGAGCACATTTATAGGTCCTCTGCATAGTTTTGTTAGCCAAGTAAACAAAACCAAGGGAAAAAACTTTTAAAGCTATGTTTAGTATTAAATAATCACCACATACTATAATAAAATATCTTGGAATACGCTTGAAGTACCTTAGATTATTGTATCTCAGAACTAGTCAAAAAAGCAGAAACAACACTAATTTTCATTCACCGATGAATTTAGGAGCTTCCATTGCTTGGATTAATACATGCCAATGTTCCTCCTGTGAACCCAGTTTTACAGGGTATTAAGATTTTCTTAAATCTAACTGTTTACTTTAAAACTAAAAAGTATTTCTTCTGCCACTTAAGTTCTATGACTGTATGAAAAAAGTACATAATAGAAATTTTGCATTGCTATATGAAAGACAAAATATTTTAGATGTTGCAATTATTTATTACTTGTTATAAGATTTAAATGTTTCTCATCTCAAAGCTGATTTTGATCCATACAGTTTTGAGTAAGAGAGGTTTCGATTCCTGAAATAGTTGTAATACTTATGCTTAAAATAATGAAAAAATTTATAAACAAAGTTTGGAATTTTTTTTACATGCTGCTTTTTTCAGGTGTACTTGCCATGGGCTATTTTTAGCCCTTCTTACAAGCTTCCTTGGATCTCATTAGTCTCACTCTCCCATTGCATCTCAGAACACATTTATATAAATACACACATAATGTATGTCATCTATAATAAAATTAATCATTAATATTAACTGCATACATGTGTGCCAGATGTAAATATTAAACAGTAATTTATTATATTACTATGTTTATATACTATCTTCTTTATTAAAAAATTCAAATTTTACCAGCTAAATAAATAGGTAATTTCAATTCTAATCCTTTATCTGCTGTTGACGTGGTTTAGGATAAACCTTTACATGATACTTCCAAAAGGTTAATGACTTATGACAAAATTCTGTTAAAAGTTCTGAAATACTGAAAACAAGTTTACTCAGGCGTGGAACAAATGTAATATTTCAGTCTAAAATAGTTAAAGCACGTGGCTTAGAAAAGTCTGGAACAAAAATTAACATCAGCTCTAAGGATTCTGGTACACCTGCTACTCCCTAAACTCCAGATTCTTGATTTCCTGTAGTGGATCTGTATCCTTCTTGTGACATCTGCCAGCACCAGATGTCCACTGTGCATACTACAGAGCATCAACCATGTAGAACAGAGATTCAGCAGAGTCAGTCTTAATGCTTTAATTCCTGAGCTCTCTGCAGTTTCCGAAAAAAAAACCAAACCACCAGCTCTTGTGGTGTTTTTCTGAGTATTTCCAGGTTCCTCGTTGCAGTCTGGGTTCCTACCCCAGACGTGAAGAAGAATTCCTCTGGTCCAGAGCTGTAAAGTAGCCTGCAGTGATCGTAATGTGGTGAGGCTGTATTGAAGTTGTGGACGCTGGAGCATATGCTGCTTAGAAACCTATTTGCGTGTCATCAGCAGAAACCTCTAATATACTTCCAAACAGTATTTTCACATAATTCTCTGAAAAAAAGTTTTGTCAGGACATTTTACTATCAGTTCTTCTCAGAAGCACAAATGCCACTTAAGTCAGCAGGATTTGTATACATATAGATAGGTATCTCAGTATAGATAGATCTCTCAGTTTATTTGCAAATCTTAGGCAATATATGCAGTCCTATTTATTTCAAGAAGACTAAAAATTGGTGTAAATAATAACATAATGTTAAATAGCTAGTCTCCTTGCTAGAAAGCCTTGCTAAATAATCTTATAATAATCATATTATCTTAATATTATTAGCCAAAGCTTGGAACATGTTATTTACTGACTTCTAAAACCATTTAAAATACGGTATTAATGGGACCCAAACAAAAAATCTGTGAATTTCAGCCTGCAATATTTTTTTTCCATTTACTCAGAAAGATAGAGGAAAAGCTACCACGATTGATAAAAGTAATATGTATTCCTCTTCCCCAAGATGTGTAACTTCCATTGTTAGAGTTGATGACATACAAAACAGACTATCGAATAAGCAGTGAAAAAGTATGTTTTTTCTAGTTTTAGTAACCTAGAACAAACCAAATAAATAAAGCAGACTTGGTAGATAAAGGGGCATGGAATTTTTAAATTATTACCCTTGGCAAGTATTGTCTGTCACAATTACTCAACAGTGACTATATTTGTATTGTGTTATCTTTGAAATTTCTAGAGAAGTTTAATTGAGTTAATGTTTAACTTCACCTAAGTATAAAATATCCCTTAAAGCTATGTCTGCTTATATGTTACTTTGTTTTAATTACTATTAATTCTCATTTATGTCAAATAGTTACATAGTAATATGCAAAATAAATGTACTCTTTGAAAACAGCTCTAAATATAATCTGTGGAACACTAAGAACAGGATATTTTTATGTTTATTTCAGAGATGATGAGTTCTTAAGTATTAAATCCATCTTCCTGTCTTGTTCTTTAATATAGTAGAGATTTGAAATGATATTAGGAACCTACTCAAAACTGTCACAAGAGAGGCAAGGCCCTTTTGACTTTTGTAAACTTCAAGAAAAATTTAAGTGTTACTGCTGAAAGCATAACCAGGTTGGGTGCTAAGTACTATCTGCAATACTTTGGCAGCCAAGATTTTACAGAAGGTCAATTACATTTGCAATAACTAAGTTAGAAAATTTACCTTAGACTTATGACTGCAGCCTCATGTCCTTTGGTCAAACTGAGAAACACATTCACCTTCAGCACTCCCGGTAACAAAGAACAATGTAAATAATTAGTCACCTTATAAAAGAAATTGGTGCGGCCAACAGATCCAACTTTTCCTGTGTGGTTCATGAAACAAATGTTTCCTTCAGTAGCGCCATAAAACTCACAGATCTTAAGAGCACCAAATCTGTCTAAAAATTCTCTCCACACATCATTTCTTACTCCATTTCCAATTGCTAGTCGGACTTTGTGATTTTTTTCTCCTGCCTTCTGTTAAAAAAAAATAAATAATTTTAAAAATAAATAAATTTAAAATATAATATACTGGTCACTGCATATGATTGTTGCATATATTGTGGGGAAAATGTATATTCTTTAAATAGATTAAGCATAAACAAACAAAAAAGAAAATCAATGGTTAAGACTTTAAAGAAAGCTGGCATAGCTGACCTATAGCTACAATGTAACAAACTGCAATCAAAAACCTATTATCTTGTTGAACAAACAAATTATTTCCTGAATAATCTCTACATTAATTTATACAAATGCTGCCATATTTTAAAAGCTGTATCGTCTCAGTTTGTTTCCACTCAGAGGAATTAGGAAACTAGGAAGAATAGAGAAAGGCAGGAACTATTTCTGTCAAGGGATTAAAGTCAGCAGAGATAAAGTCACTTTCTTGTGTCTTCAGGTTGATTATAAGAAACAATCAGATTTCACATACTTGTAATATCTGTTTCTCCCCACACATTGTATATGAGTCGTGTTCTGTATTTCTTTCAATTTTAAGACTTGCAAGGTTTTGTTCAATGTTTTTTTGGAATATATTATTTCTTGATGATCTTTACTGGTGTCAACTCCCATGTTTTATAATGAGAAACACAAGAGTATGTGTTCATCCAGTTCAGAAAGTCTCTAATTTTATGAATACATTCCCAAACTTTGTGACTGCATGGAGCACCTTTAAAAAACAATCAGATTTAATTTGAGGTATCACCAGACGAAAGATCTAAAAAGTTTGTGGTTTTTTTTAAATTTTGCCTATTTTAACATAAGACTCCCTTTTCAATCACTGCAAGTGGCAATACAGAATTCCCTAGAAGTGGGACAGAACAAAATAAATATAAGTATAGTTTGTTACCACATACCTTTAGAACTACATAGCGCTCTGGTACTGCAACACTGTCTGTATATATCTCTATACATGTACACTTACGCAAATGTATACAAACACCTCTTTATATATGCATATGCACATATATGCTCGTATTTACACTCTTCGTATATGTGTGTTTGTATATATATACACACATTCACAAATGTATACTAAAGAAAGAAGATGGTCCCTACTTACTGTTCTTCTATTCCAGTTTCCTTTTCCCTCACCTAACTCCAATCCAGTATGAACTGCATATGTCTGTATAGTGAAAATCCATTTTAGCACCTTTAATCTGGCATAAAAGGTCAGCAAATTATTTCTGCGAAGAGATCTGCTCACCTGACTGAAACAGGAACCTTCAGATATTTTGGATGTTAAAAACAGTGAAGCTTCTACTGAGTACATGGACAGGAGTGTTCCTCAGAAGCTTATCTCTTGATCAAACTCTTATTTTTGTAAAGATTGTGAATTGTAACTTCACTGACTTCATGGTAAATCATTATTAGCAAGTGCTGCATTACATAGTAGAATTAAACTGACCATGGATATAGCCTGGAAAAAAGTGTCTAAAAATTGCCTTTAGATGTAATTTTTGGAGTGGCTTGTTTTTTCAGCTTCAGAAGAAATATCACAGTCCAACAGGGCAGATTTTCATATATCTGAAATAATAAGGTCTGTTATATTACACTTTCAAAAACATTATACCACAAACGAACAATAAAAGTATTACTTTTTTAAGAGAAAGTGTTTCAGTGCTCCTTTGATCTTTGTCAGGAAAGCTTCTAACTGTTTTTTCCCCCAGAAAACTGTCCACCATGTTTAGAATATTCCAGTCAGCTCAACCTAAAACTTTTCAAAGTGGGTTATTTTCCTTACAGTTTCATTGCTAAACTGAAATTAACATGTCAGTAACTGAACTGCAGTTACCCCTTGCTGACAACACTGGATTATTCAAATGTACTGCTTCTGCTAAGATATGAAAAATAGCACAAGAGATTCTTTCACAGAAATCCTTTGTTTCACAATGAACAGAAGACACAAATATGTGCACATATATTCACACTCTAATTAAGTGGGTCATTCATCAGGCTAGAACATTCAAAATCTCTAGAGACCAAGGTAATAAGCAGGTCCGCTTTGCTTTTATTATTTATATTTTAAGAAAAATAAAAGCATTGATGGCTGTTTGCTGAAAAGACACGAAGTAGGATGAACAATGGCCTACATGAACTATGGGTTTTTTATAAAAGGACAAATACAACATCATTCATAAGTGCAGTTACTTTAGTACCTTCAAATCCTTGTCTTGTTTTGACTAGTTTACATTACTGCAGCACAAAATTGTTTCTCTAGTGGAAAAGATGCAGAGTAAGCATGACAGGTCAGCATATACTTTGCAGGCAATGTTAACACCTACCAACAACACAATGTATGACTATCTCACTTTAGGAAGTATTCTCTTAAGGGACTCAGCCCTTTTGCAAAAATACAAAGAAGGTATGTGATGTCATCAGGAGCTGACTGCAGGAAGCAAATTTTCTTAAAAGAGAAGGCAGTAATTCACTTCTTCAAAACTAAGGTAAATTTTCTGTTAGACTGCATTGCTGCAACTGCTGTATTGGTGATTTTGGCAGCTCCATCACAGTTGTACACATTTGTTGGTACAAGCCACCCTGAAGGGTACTGCAGGGCTTTCTGGGGCGAAGGCTTTAAAACTGTCATGCATTTCGCAGTCCTTCAACTGTAAGAATGGAAACTATATGTAATTTAATCTCCCAGCAGGTTTAATAAGTAGGAAGAGAATTGTTATAGTGAAGGAAACTAAACAGTGATTTATTCACAAGTTTTATATGTGAGTAAATTCATAGAGCTATTTTTATCACATAATTTTACCCACATTTTTGTATGACTAATCTATGATATTATTTCATGGTAGCTTTACACGTAACCAACTTTCAAGGGAAAGTGAACCACAATAAATAAAACAGAGTTAGCCCTTTTAACATGTTTTCCATTACTTGATCTGTATATTCATCATCTGCATTATTGTCCAGATCACTGTCACAGTCCAAATCTAGAACAGGTATGTTGGTATCAATGGGCACTGTGGTCAAAACCTTATGCAGTAAATTGAATGTGATAAATAAGAGAAGGGCAGAAAAAGGGATGATATTTCCAATAAATTCTAGAAACATGGTTGAAAAATGCACACTCAGGGTGTTCTAATGTATGAAAATAAAAAGAAATTAAATAGGCAGGAACTTATACTTTAAACAGACTATTACACCAAACAGTCATGCTCTGAATTTCTGTCATATTCAGATGGCATTTCATAAAATAGCTTCCCTTTGGTACAGTAGATAGAATTAAAGGAGTAGGAGGAATTCCAAGGGGTCACTTAGTACGCATCTCTGCTGGAGATAAGCTTAGCTACCCCTGTGCCATTCTTGACATCTGAACAAGCTGTAGCACGTCATCATCAGCCAGTTACTGTGCAACAGTTGGTATGCAGAAATCGTCTGCATGAATATTCTTAACTTGCTGCAACAGCATACTTCCTCATTAACACTTCCTTCACTAAAAGCTGTATTTCCACACAGTATCTGATTTACAAAGGACTCAGTGCCTTGCCCTGGTCATCGATCACAAATAAGTTCAAACAATGTGTGTCCTGTGATAATCTGCTCGTGCTTTGTGTTTCTGAATGTGATTAGTAGTTCTCTACAGACAGACAGATTTCAGAATAACAGAATGCTAGAGCATCTCTCCAAGGTTAAAAAAATTACTATTTATTTTGTTTCTTGCACTGTGATTTACTTTTCTTACACAGTTATTCTGAATTATAATTGGGATTCAGTCTAAAACCACTTATTTCTAACAGTAAAGGTGAAACATTTTTCTCGATGACTTGAAGCATTAATAAGCAAGAACTGTTCTTACCTTCCCCCTGGACTTTTCTTCAATTAATTTGACCAAGATCTTTGAATCATATATTAAACATCTGCATACATCATAAATTGGTTTCTGACACACCTCTTCTCCATTCCGAGTTCTGGTTTCATTTGTATAGTAATTAATTGACAAGTCAAGATTTGTCTTATTACACTAAATACCACATACCTGGGACTTTCCATCTGCCAACCTTTCCTCCTTAAGTGTTCTTTGTAAACTATGTGGACTATCTACATGATTAAGTTGTTGATAAAAGAAATGTCTTTTAAAGTGCCATCAACGGTATATTAATTGGTGTGAGAAGGATTCATGACCGCAGCTATACAAAAATGCACTTAGCATTTGCTTCAAAAGAATAGTGGAAAACAGGCTCGTTGTCCTATTTTTATCATTTCTGCAGCAGGAAAGGCCAAATGGAGAGAAGCAAAGGCAACTTCAAGCAAAGGAGGCATGAAATGTTTCCTGTATTATGGCCTTGATGAAACTAAAAGCAATCTCAGGGCCTGAGAAATGCAACATCTGTTAAATATACAATACGATGTATAGACGACACAGGATTTACCTTTGTGTATTTACAAGGAATGTGTGTAACAACACATTCACCAGTTCTCTATTGATACATTAGCCCTGAAAAAAGAGGCATCAGGTATTTAGTAGAGAGACTATGAGAGATATCCTACTGCCATTATGATGACAGATGCAATAAATTCTTCAAAATGCATGTTTACATTCCCTTTTCTGTAATGACTAATTATAAATTGCAACTATATTTTTTTGAGCAAAATACACACCCAAAATTAAAAATCTAAGTACAAGAAAACAGGAAGGGTACTGAAGAGATGCATCATAAGAAAGGAACAGAAATTCTAGGAACAGGACACATCCTTCAAGTTAAGGAACTGGTTGTTTGCAGTTTAGTATAGTGCACTTGCACCACACTTTCATTAATCAGACTTCTGATAAACTAATAACATTAGATTCTAAGGAGTTTTCTTCCTTTAGTTTCCTTTAGCTGTACTTCTATTTGCTCAGAAAGTATCTACCAACACACAAAAAATACAGTTTTGCCTATGCTCCACCCAGTAATATGAAATAGATCATTATATTTTTGGTGACTGCCACAGGAGGCCGCAAGTCAAAACAAATTACACAAAACTTTCCAAAGGTCAATTCAGAGAATTAAAACACACATAGATTATTTGTTGCGCTCCATACTGCACACAGTATTACAAAGCTTCCCTTTGTAAATGTATGATTGTTACTTCTAAGCTTCATAATCAGAACATTTTCTGCATGACTCACTATCTTAACCCAAAAGAGTATTTAGGAAAAAAAGCTGGAAGGAAGGAAAGAAATTGGTCAGGTTATATAACCTCTTAAAGACTCTGAAAAGTCTTGAGTCACCATGCTGACATTGCAACCAGCCTTAAGTGCTGTTTTAGGTATTGAAAACCAATGCTTCCTAAGGCCGCAGGACCTCCATGAGCATTACAGATTCTTTTCAGGAAAAAAACCTGGAAACCCTTGCCATTATTAGTAGAAAGAATGAGAAAACAGACACAGAATGATCATGTGGATAGAGTTCAAAAAAGGTATGCTAGTATATTTAATTATCAGAAGGAATTAGCCAAAATAGACAGGGCTATAATCTGCTTTTAAACTTACTTTAAAAAAATAATACTGTGGTTGTAGTCACGGCAGTTTAAAGCACAAAATTTGTTGTGATATACAGTATATTTTTTATTAGATCGACTGACATAGTCTGGAGGGAAAAAATACAAGCTTCCAAATCCCAGGTCCATTTCTAAGTTTCATTTCAGATGTGCTGAACACTTTCTTAGTCTAAAATTTCTATTTTCTATAACTGTATATACAAACAGTGTTCCATTCTCCTTTTAAGCACTGTTAATATTGCAGTAAATCAGTAATAACTTGGATTAAGAATGATGTCTGCTTATGACATACACAAGCAGTTGCAGATTTTTTTAAAAAACCCACAGGTTACTAGAAAAATAATATAG